CTTTGTTTGGTCTTCTAAAAGAGGACGATATCTGCTTCGTCATGCCTGGAGCTGATCCGTGCTGGTCGCTGAGGAAATACATCAACTTCGCGCTGTGGATCGGCTTTCACCGTGGACGAAGTGAAGTCCAGCCCGGGGTCGTCACATGTGGTTGCCGCAAGCCTCCTTCGTCGAATCTGCCGGCCGCACCGTTCTCAATCTCACCGCCCTCCGCTCACTCAAGCCCGCCGTGTGTTTGGTTGTGAAAGTGAAACTACTTTGTTTGGTCTTCCAAAAGAGGACACGACTAGAAATCAGTGGTTAAGTTGTATTTACAACACTGTTCCAGAACAGTTCAACCCAAATATTCAGATGTGTGCAGCACATTTTATGGAGGACTGTTTCCTGATCCTGGGAGAGTAGACTACAATGCCGGCTGTTCTGACTCACAGACTGTAAGTACGTTTTTTATATTTAAAGAGTTTGCCACTGACGATTCAAACGTGAGTTTTGGGCAGTGTAGAGTAGCGCTTGTTGTTTGTCATTTCTCAACACAACACGTAAAAAGACAGTATAAGTCATTATAATCCATAATTATGTCCACACTGGATGCAACTAATGTGTTGTTTGTAATGGGTTTTCATGTTTTTGTGTCGTCTCTCCGGCCGGACACGGCATCACAGTATGGTGAGGGGCGTAACATTTCCGTCACACGCTTGAGGTATCCGGCCAATCACAACGCACTGGATAGCTGGCCAATCACAGCACACCTCGCTTTTCAGACCGATGAGCTTTGTAAAAATCGACGTGTTTCAGAAAGGCGGGGCATAGAGGAGAAACAATAATGTACAGTATGTGGAAAATTTTTTTTTTTTTTTCTTTAAACCGCATAAACATTTCATTACACCAAATAATGTTCTTTTTAGCAACATCATATGACCCCTTTAAAAATGTATTTTAAAACAGATCTATTATATCCTACAGTGAATTATAGGCCTATAGCCTAAATAAAATTGTTAACACTTTAGTCATCAATGAAACTTAAGAGCAGCTTTTTTAAAGCATCGACTTTCAAAAACAACCTGTTCAACATGAAATACGTTTATTCTCATTCATCTCCATGTTTGGGCCACAAGAGAAACTTTAAGGAAATAAATTAAAGCAGTTATAAACCGCATATTAAGCAGGAGATTCGTCTCTCGTCGTCTCAGAGAATTTGCGCCATTACTGCGTGCGCCGTCAGATGCCGAAAGCGTCATCAGTTTTTACTTTCACTGTCATGGTGAAAGACGTTCAGCGGCATAAGTCTTGCACAAAATTTGCACGTTGCTTGTATGATATCCACTGGCTCGCCTTCACCGTTTAAAACCGAATTATTTCCAATATTGCTTGAGATCTGTGGGGGGGCCCCACAGATTTGCGCTATGCCACTGGCTTTATGTGGAGGATAATGCACGAATTGCACACCACTCAGTCCACTTTTTTTTTTGCAAATGAACTCTTCAAATATTAACTTAGACAACACCAATTAAACAAAATAAATCTAATTTACATTTTACAGGCAAATAATGCATAAAAAGTAGGGCTTCATCACTTCAACACAAATCTTTTGTAAACAAGTCACTTGTTTCTGAACTAATTCAAACCCGTTCATCAATTTCAAACAGGCTTACTTCTTTGGTCCTTTGGCCTTTGGGTTTTTGGCAAACAGTGAGGGGTCCAGAGACTCCAGAGATTTGCCTTTAGTGCTGAAGAGACGCTGGGCTCTCTCTTCTAGTGTGCTGCAAACAAAACACACACAAACAACACGTTTGGACATTACGAACAGACTCAGGAGTCAGGGACTGCCAGTCCTATGAATGTTTTATTTGTGATCCGGTTAAATGTGAAACTACAGTTAAACATGAGCAGGACAGTGTGTTCACACTCACCCTCCACATTTGAGACCCAAGGCCATGAGAGCAGACTTCAATCTGTCCAGACCCAGAGACGCCAGCTCCTGTACCAATCAGACAACATTAAGGAAAACAGGAAACTCACAGAAGTACAGATTTGAACACGGCTCAGCCAATCAGAATCAAGCACTGGAACTCTCCGTTTTATAAATCTCTTCTAATACTTCTATGCTAACTTTTTTATTATGCCACTGATAAATATTAACCTCAATGAATGGTAATACATTGGTATGTTTGGAAAAAATGCAGCCACCGCTGAAAGCAAAACTCTCAAACACGTAATAAGGTCTGTATCTAGGGCTGTCGCAGTGAGGGAATTTCCCTTGCGGTAATTATGAGTGGCTCAATAGCGCGGTATGCGGTTTTACCGCCATAAATATACATACATACATACATATATATATATAATTTGTTACGATATAACTAACGAGGTCATATTCAGAAGACAATGAAGCCGAAACCAAATAGCATTGAAACAAGAAGTGAAGTAAACAGAAGAGAATGACAAAACAACGGTCCACATAACAGGACATAAACCTGACAATAAGATTGTTAGGCTATCATTAGTCTATATGTATTGCAGTTAGCCTAGTTGCAATCTGATCTTCTAATCTGACTGGACAAGAGACTTTCTATTGATATTTCCACCTGCGCGCGTTCTAGACGGCTGTCAGGCAGTGTAGTTACAGTGTTGCGCCACAAGGTGGAGGAAAGGGACTGTCATTCAACTACACGTTTTTGAACGAGGCTGATTGATTCATTCATTCAAAGAGACGTAATGAAACACGCTGTTGAAATCATTTTAACTTTGAGCGCCACTTTAGGCTCAGCTGACCAGCTATGTGTTGATGCTAAGACAGAGATTTCGCTTTCCTTGGACATGACAACCTATTTTCACAAATATATATGACTCGGCCTGGAGGACAGACGCAAGTAATCGCACGCGCTCAGTCGATCTCTCTCTCATTCACTGTCTGTTTAGGCTTGTTAAGTGCAAATCTACGGAGCCTCTGTACAAATCAGCATGGTACACATTATGTTATCATTACTAACTTGTTTAATATTCAGTCCACATGCATGAAGTGTAAAACGAGAAGGGCATAACCTTACGAAAAAATAAAACACGGAAAAATCGCGGTTGCTGCGGTTCTTGCATTCCTCTGCGGTTTGCTCGTCAATAGCGCGGTATTGCGATATTGCGGTTATCGCGACAGCCCTATCTGTAGTGCTCATTAATGTTGTCTCTTAAGCACAAACCCACCGGCCAGCCTGGAAACATCCCACTCTCCCACTTCTTCTCAAACTCTGCCAAGATCTTTCCGTAGAGCTCATTCTGATCCAGCAGAGGCTTGACCCGATCCGTGTATTCCTGCAGGTACTCCAGCAACATCTCCAGATACCTGCAAGAGCACAACATGCATCCATATCGAGGCGCATTTATCACAACAACAAGAAACTTGAACTACCAATTACACACACACACACACAATGTGGTTCGTGTTTTAGGACTGAAGAATTTGGGGGGAAAAAGAAAAAGAACAATTATTTTACAGACACAAATTGTGAACGGTTTTCTGTGCTTGTTCGAGGGCTGCACAATCTGATCAAAAACACCACCTTTCACCTACTTCTTATACTCTGCGTTCTTCCGGTCTTTAGAGATGTCAAAGAGCTGATCGAATGTTGACAGATAAGTGACATACTCCAGTTTCTAGAAGAGAGCAACACACACAGAAGTATAACGGTCTTTTGTTCAATTATTCGAAGGCATGCAAATCAAACAAGAAACCGGACAGTACCTCCGCTCCTTTGAGGTTAATGTACTTCAGGTAGCAGTCGTGGAGATCCAGGTAGCGTCCGTAACCCTCTTCATCAGTGAACTCCACCAGATCTGTGACCAGCATTGAGACCGTTACCGTCCATTCACAGCACATATCAGCGCCTCAGCAAACAGCTCTCGTGTTACTCCAGACTTACTTTGTGCCTCCTCACTGGGGTTGTCTTTGGCTTTCATGAGCTCTTCAAACTCCACTGACATGGGCACACAGATCTGCAATCGACACACAGAATGAGTGGAGTGAATATTTCTCCGAGACAGAAGCGTGTCGTTCGGGACAGAGCACTTCACGCCCGTCTGTACCTCGTTAGGGTGTTTTCTGTGGAACTCCTTGATCACTTTGAGTCGGTTGTAGAACTCAGCGAACTCGTTGGGTCCCGATATTGCATTCAGCTCATCCTTCCTCATACTGATGAACAGACACACAACACCGCCGTGAGATCGCACAAAATACGGCTGATATTACTGCTGGGCGGTATACCGGTTCATACCGAATACCGGTTTTTATTTTTGTTATGATATGAATTTTGAAAATACCACAATACCGGTGTATGTCGCTTAAACAACGTTGGGAACGCGACACTGTTTGAAAGAGGTCCCTTTTCACTGTTGCACTGTGGTGAGGGAACAGCTGTATGTGTTACTAAGCGTGAAAGCTCAGAAACTGAAGCTGTAGAACTAATGGAACGTGATGACACAGAAGAACTCATCCACAATATCCACACTGACCTCCATAAATATCCAGCGCCCCCTGCCATCAGCTCCCACGTCTCACACACACGAGCGACTTTAGCACTAGATTTAGCAACTTTCAGACCCTTTTAGTGGCTTTTTTCCATAGAATATTCATACTGACAAACCTAGCGACTTTTTTCGATAAACCTTAGCTATAGTTCAGTTGGAAGATTTCTCCAGTGCTTTTCATACTGACAAACCTAGCGACTTTTTTGGATAAACCGTAGCTATGGTTCAGATGGAGGATTTCGCCAGTGCTGTCCCACGAATGCGAGGTCTGACTTTCCCGGAGAAGTGTCACCTCTCTCGGCGTGTGTTCTGTGCAGTGAGCGGCAGAGGAGCAGTGCATTCAGTTGGCCGCACCGCAGCTGACTCGTCAATAAATGAGTACAAAAGAGCGTTTCCTAGCACCTGCCGCTTACTGATAGTTTGGAGTTATAAATATGAGCGTAGTTTGTCTGTTAATATCACATGCACTTTTTAGTTTGTTGCTTTTTTTAGTTTGTTACTCAGACGCAGGCAGTGCGCTGCATGAGAGAAAAAAGTCATACAGCCAAAACAACTGCATAGCCGCTCTTTAGTGTAGATGCATGTTGATTTTATCAGACGATGCCGCGATTATAAATGAGAGTGA